TTAGCCAGAATGGTCTCAATCTCCTGACCTCATGATCCTCCTGCCTCAGGGATCATGAGGGATTACAGGCGTGAGCCTGGGATTACAGGGGTGAGCCACCACGCCTGGCCCTGATCTCTTTTTTTAAATGCCAGTAGGATTCCCTTAGTCACTGTGAAAAATAAAACACCCTCACACATTGCTACTCACTCTAGGGAGGTGGGGGGAGATACCACACACTCATGAGAACAACTGGATGAGATTATTGATAAGATGTCTTTCAGGTCTGGAGTTCTAGGAGTCTGTCATTTTCTTATTTCTTAATATTTAATGAGCTTTGCTAGGCTCGCTGAGTTTTTAAAATATATTTTCAAAAAGATACATGTGCTTCCAGCTTCTGGTAATAGAGAAATAGCTCTTTTCAGATGAATTTATCTGTGGGTTACTACTACACTCTGGTAAAATATAAGAAACCTTAAGGTACTAGAGAGAAATCAAAAGCAGACAGATATTGGACACCTGTGTATATGTGGAAGAAGGAATTATCACCAGATAAATTTTCTGGTTTTTACAGCTTTTTGCCTGGGAGTAGGCCACAGTCAGCACCAACAGAATGATCAAAACTTGGTCACAAACTTGCAGTCTTACTGGTGTGAAGAACTACAAGATAGAGTTTGAGGCAAACTTAGCAGTTGGAAAGTGAGAGCAGGAATCTTGGAAAGGAGAGAGGCAGAGAAGGGAAGCCCCAAATTCTGTGCACAAACTGTGCCCAAATCTCTAGCTGACCCCTGAAACATACATGCATAGGACAGACTCAAAGTAGCCCAAATAAGAACTGAACCAAGATATTTGATGCTGCCCACTAGAGAGGTGGCAGAGTTTGGAATTTGACTCCAACTAAATTAACTACCTGCTTAAAAAACTCAGTACTCTTCAAAGGAACATAGCAAAATCCAGAGTTTCTACACATTGTGTACTATACAATTTGCAGGATAAGGTAGGCATATGAAGAAATGGGAAAGTGCAACCAAAACTCAAGAGGAAGACAATCAGTAGAGACAATGACCTGGATGACCCAGATATTAGAATTTACAAAGATTTTAAAACAACTATTATAATTGTGCTCAAGGACTTAAAGGAAAATATGCACGTAAAGAATGAACTAATAGGAAATGCAAGCAGAGAAATACAGATTGTGAAAAAAGTAATTCTAGACTATGAAATTTTAGAACTGAAAAATCAGATACTTGAAATTGTAAAAAAAAAAAAAAATTAGTGAATAGGCTTAACTTTTGGAAATGAACATAAGTAGAAGTCAGTGACAGTTGAAGATAGACAGAAATTATCCTATCTGAAAAACAGGGAGAAGAAAAAGCCTCAGTTACCAATTAAATGATATTAAAAGGTCTAATATACATGAAGTTAGAGTTCTAGAAGGAGAGGGGACAGAGCATGGGACAAACTATATTAAAAGGAAATAATGGCTTAAAATTTATCAAATTTGGTAAAAAACATAATTTTACAGATTTATAACATTTGATAAATCTCAACCTGGATAAATACAAAGGAGGTCACAGCTATACATATCATTGATCAATGACATGCAATAGATATATAGTGTGAACCAAGAATGAAAGCCACATACCTAATATAAAATTTTCCACCAGCCACATTAAAAAAGCAAACAGAAGCAAATAAATTAACTTTAATAATATATTTTCTTTGACCCAGTATGTCCAAATATTATTTCCACATGAAATCAATATAAAATTGTTATTGGGATAACTTGCATATATGTTTGTGTATGTACGTATATGTTGGTATGTGTGTGTATATATGTTTTTAAGTAAATCACCTGGTATGTATTTTATACAGATAACATATCTCAATTCAGAAGAGCCACATTTCATGTACTTAGTAGCCACATATAGCTAGCTGGTCTCTACCATAGTGGGGAAAGTCATAGAGAAATCACAGAAACCAAAGATTTGAAAGCAGGCTGAAAAAAACTGTACTATATATAGAGAATCAATATTTGAATGACCATTGGCTTCTCATTAGAAACGACAAAGACCTGAAGCAATAGAATGACATTTTACATGCTGAAAGAGAGAGAGAGAAAAAAACCAACCCCGAATTCTATATCCAATGAAAATACTCTTCAAGAATCAAGATGAAATAAAGGCATTTTCAGATAAAATAAAATTAAGCTAATTCATTGCCAGCAGGCCTGTACTATAAGATACACTAAAAAGGAAGTTATGTAAGTTAAAAGAAAAATATACCAGAGGGAAACTCTGATTTTAGGAAGAATGAAGAGCATTAGAAATGGTAGCTATCTGGATAATTATAAAATACTTTTTTTCCCTCTTGATTTCTTTAAAATGCAGCTGACTGCTTAAAGCAAAATACTACTATTGTATTATAGGAGGGAGTTTACAATGTAGGCAGTTATAATGTAAATAACAACCATGAAGATAGAATTTATTTACATCTGAACTGGAAAAGCTCTATCTTTTTATCTGGAAAAGCTCTATATTTTTCTCTGGAAATTCTTAGATGTCTATTTTTTTGACTCTTGGCCAAAACAAGATAAAGGCAGCATTTTTTTTTTTTTTTTTTTTCCGAGACAGAGTCTCGCTCTGTTGCCCCGGCTGAAGTGAAGTGGTGTGATCTTGGCTCACTGCAGCTTCCCTGGGTTCAAACAATTCTCATGTCTCAGCCTCCTGAGTAGCTGAGACTACAGGTGCATGCAACAAGCCTGGCTAATTTTCTGTATTTTTAGTAGAGATGAGGTTTCACCATGTTGCCCAGGCTGGTCCTGAACTGTTGAGCTCAGGCAGTCCACCCACCTTGGCCTACCAAAGTGCTAGGGTTACAGGTGTGAGCCACCGAACACAGCCATCAGCTTGTGTGAGTTTGTTGTTGTTTTGTTTTTTCAGAAGGAGTTTTGCTCTGTCTCAAGTGATTCTCCTGCCTCAGCCTCCCGAGTAGCTGGGATTACAGGCATGCGCCACCACTTCTGGCAAATTTTTGTACCTTTTTTTTTTTTTTTTTTTTAGTAGAGACGGGGTTTCACTGTGTTGGCCAGGAAGGTCTTGAACTCCTGACCTCAGGCGATCCACCTGCCTCCGCCTCCCAAAGTGCTGGGATTACAGGCGTGAGCCACTATGCCCAGCCTGGCTTGTGTATTTTTAAGATCTCAATGCCAGTGGCTACTCGTGGTAAGCTTCCTTACTGATGGCTTGCAACTGGCCTAAAAGATTTGACAGGACTTGCTTGATTACATAAAATGCCCCTGCTGAGAGTTCCTCCTTTGAGCTCTCCGACACCAAGATTCTTCACACAGATCCAGAGTCATGGCATGGTCTGTGCAAATAAGGGAGGCTGTACATGGAGTGTCTCTTGGCTTTCTAGTGCTTCCCTGAACTCTCTCTCTTGCTGTGTTGTACCCTTTGCCTTTAAATAAAAACCTTAACATGAATATGCTCAGTGAAGTTCGGTGAGTGCCGTCAACTCTCTGAACTGGGAAAATCTTTGTCACAACTATAGCATAAAGAAGAGTGGTGATGTCCTCTATACTTGCAAGATTCTTGCATTCTATGTGAAACGATATATTAGCTCTAAATAGGTGATGAGTAACCAAAAATGTGTATTGTAATTATTCAAGTAATCACTAAAAATACAAAGAGGTCTAACTAAAAAGTCAACATATAAATTAAAATAGGCTGGGTGTAGTGGCTCATGCCTGTAAGTCCAACATTTTGGGAGGCCGAGGCAGGTGGGCCATGAGGTCAAGAGATCGAGACCATCCTGGCCAACACGGTGAAACCCCGTCTCTACTAAAAATACAAAAATTAGCTGGTGGCACACGCCTGTAGTCCCAGCTACTCAGGAGGCTGAGGCAGGAGAATTGCTTGAACCTGGGAGGCAGAGGTTGCAATGAGCTGAGATCGTGCCACTGCACTGTGGCCCGGCGACAGAGCGAGACTCTCTCTCAAAAAATATATATAAATATAGTAAAGTGGAATTTAAGAAAATTCAAAGCAAAGGAACACACAAACATACATACACACAATCTCCCTAAGTGTAAAAAACAAAACTGTAAGCCTAATGATAGGGTATAAAGTAATAAGTTGAAGATTGCTTTTCTGCCCCTCTCCACAAATATCAAAGAATAACGAGGGTGACAGCTTGTATTCTTCCAGATAGTTTTGTATGCATCATATATGTATATACAGATGTAGAGTTTTTCAACAAATATAGATTCTTTTGTGGCTGGTTTTTTCATATGAATCAATAATATATCAAGGTCAAATTCCAGTGTCATAGAGATCTACCTCATTCTATTTAATGGCTGCATAACATTTCATGGCATCAATATACTATAATTTGCTTCTCCATTCCCTTATTGATAGATATGTAGGTGGTCTTCAATTGTTCACATTGTATTTCTTTCTTACTGCTGCTGTAACAAATTACCACAAATGCAGCATCTTAAAACAGCATAAATGTATTCTTTTATAGTTCTGGAAGTCAGAAGTCTGAATTCAGTTTTGCTGGCTTGAGGTCAGGCTGTCGGCAGGGCTGGGTCCTTCTAGAGGCTCTCAGGGGAAAGTCTATTTTCTTGCCCTTTTCACCGTCTAGTGTTTCTCTGCAGCCCTTGGCTTGTGGCCCTTTCATCCGTCTTCCAAGCATAGCACTCCACTCTCTGCTCCTGTCATCACATCACCTTCTCTTGAGAAAGATCCCAGGCTGGTATTTACACTCCATGTTGGCAGGAACTTTGCCTGTCTTCCCCTCCTCCCACTGCATGTGGCATGTGTCATTGTTCCCAGTGAGTACTCCATAAATACTTGTTTAACTAAATAGCTAATGGATGGTTCCAAAAACTACATGAACAGTTGATGTGAAATACTTAGAATCCTGGGGTTTTCTGTCCATCCCACTGTCACTTTCTTACTGTGTCTTCTGTTGAAGAAGACGGTCCTGGGTGAGCAGGAGTGCGTTTGCCATTACAGGAGTCCGTGACGTTCAGGGATGTGGCCGTGTTCTTCAGCCAGGACGAGTGGTTGCACCTGGGCTCTGCCCAGAGAACCTTGTACCGGGAGGTGATGCTGGAGAACTACAGCAGCCTGGTCTCGCTGGGTAAGAATTTTTGCCTATGATGAAGAATCTGTTACAGGAACACCTCACAGATCCATCTTTGGGGTTCCGAGCCTGTAGTTTTTCACCCTAGTGAGCCCCTCGGAAAGGTTGAATTACTGTAGAGTTGAAAGTGTGCATTCCTGTTGTGATGCCCTTCTTGCTATTTGTTTCTCTACCCTCCACTCTCCCTCACATCCCACCGCCAATCAGTTTCCTCCTTGGAGTAGGCCAGTGAGTAGATCCCAGTTTAGATTCCGAAAAACATATAGGGACCCCCCATCTTAGAGGCACTCATTGCCAGGGCCCTATAATGTTTCTGAACGGAGACCTTCCCCACCCATTGACAGCTCCAGTGCCCCTGAGAAGTGTTAGTGCTGCCTTGTCTGCCTCTCAGGCCTTGCGTCCTTTGCTGTGTCGGTTCAGAGTGAGTAGTATGTGAGTTCTTGGATTGCTCTTCATGCTATTTGTTCAAGCTTCCTTTCCTTCCTCATGAGCAGGGATTCCATTTTCAATGCCAAAGTTGATTCATCAGTTGCAACAAGGAGAAGATCCCTGCTTGGTGGAAAGAGAAGTCCCTTCAGATACCTGTCTAGGTAAGTGACAGGCTGGAAAATGGGCACAAGAGATTCTTTATAGACAAGTAGGTCACAAAGAGGCAGTTCTTGGGAAACTCTTGGAAATACTGAGTTCTATTGAGATGCTCAGGCCAGGTGTATTTTATTTGAGTTGTATAGGTTAAAGTACACACAATTACCTAATTGCAGTTATCTAATGTTAACCTATTTTCTGTCATGGATTGATGAAATCAGGTTTCAACAGAGAGTAGTTTGGAGTCACCTCAAAGTAAATCTTTTCACCCAGAATCAAAACTGAGCTTGGGGCTTGGACATATTTCAGGACTTTAAGACATATTGACTTCAAATCTCCTGCAGGTTTTCATTATTCTCAAGAGATTCCTACAAAGAGAGTGAGTGCAGTCTTTTGGTTGCAGCTTATTAGAAGAAATGAATATGTCTCTCTTTGTGATAAAATAAAAAGGGGAAAATACAAAGAAAGGTAATATGAAAAAAACTGTTATTCTTCCAATCACCAGGGGTAGATTGTTGCACATGGGCAATTTACTCCATATTTTCCTCTTTCTTATAATGAGCATCTGAAACTTCAGTCACGTAGAATCGTCACAGTCATGCTGCAGGGTTGTTGTAATTTTCAAAACCTGAATGTCCCCCACTTCTTTTTTTTTTTTTTTTTTTTTTTGAGATGATTCTCTGTCACCCAGGCTGCAGTGCAGGGTGTGATCACAGCTCACTGCTCTGTCACCCAGGCTGGAGTGCAGTGGTGTGATCACAGCTCACTGCTCTGTCACCTATGCTGGAGTGCAGGGTGTGATCACAGCTCACTGCTCTGTCACCCAGGCTGGAGTGCAGTGGTGTGATCACAGCTCACTGCTCTGTCACCCAGGCTGGAGTGCAGTGGTGTGATCACAGCTTACTGAACTCTCTGCCTCCCAGGCTCAAGCGATCCTTTCACCTCAGCCTCCTGAGTAGCTGGGACCACAGGTGCGTGCCACCACACCTAGCTAATTTGTTGTATTTTTGGTAGAGACGGGGTTTCACCATGTTGTCCAGGCTGGTCTCAAACTCCTGAGCTCAGGTGATCCACCTGCCTCAGCCTCCCGAAGTGCTGGGATTACAGGTGTGAGCCACTGTGCCCAGCCTTCCTCTTTTTAACAGACTGTTTCCCCCTTCGCAGACTACGATATAAAATCAGTCACATGAAATAAAGAAATTTAAGAAAACCAATCCAAATATTTAAAAAATTATTGGGTGTGGAGTTTCAGAGAGAACATGGGGAGATAATACAATGAAAGGGACATGTGAGTAAGAAGGAGAACGTAGGCTGCCTGCTTCATTGCCTGGTATATGCAGAGTGGAAAACGATGACAGAGTGGAGTATCCCATGGAATTCAACGTGGGCTTCTCATTTGGCATTTTTCTGTATCCTCATATCTTCTACCCAGCCTGTTCTTCTGCATCTAACTTTACCTGGGTGGAATCACTTCATTTTCATTGTTAATTTGTCCTGTGTATTCTCCCATGCCATTCCGTAACCCATTCACCCCACTTTTCCTTTATCCCATCCTGTTCTTCCCAAGATCCAGGTCAGCATTTGAAATCTGATTGTACACTCTGCTTTTACATATACTGTTACCAGTTTTATTGTCTCACTGATACATCAGTTTGTTTCTTCCAGCAGAGGAGACATTAATTCTTCTGATTCATTTTAGGTTTCAAGACTTGGCCTGAAACAGAAGCATTGCCTCATAGACAGGACGTTTTTGTAGAGGAAACATCTCAGGGAATGATAAAGGAAGAATCCATTAAGGATGGTCACTGGGACGTTAACTCTGAAGAAGCTGTGGAATTTGAGAGCAGGATAGAAGAAGAGCAAGAGAAGAAACCTCTCAGGCAAATGATAGTCTCGCATGATGAAACCATCAGTGAAGATGGAAACCACACGAGTCTTGAATTGGAGAAAAGCTTATTTATAAATACAGCTCTCGTCGCACAACAGAGTGTTCCTATAGAAAGGATACCCAATATGTATTATACATTTGGGGAAGATTTTAAACAGAATTTTGATCTCATGAAATGCTTCCAAATTTACCCAGGAGGAAAACCTCACATCTGTAATGAATGTGGGAAGAGCTTCAAGCAGAATCTTCATCTTATTGAACATCAGAGAATTCATACAGGTGAGAAACCCTACAAATGTAATGAGTGTGAAAAAACCTTCAGCCACAGATCATCCCTTCTTTCTCATCAGAGAATTCATACTGGAGAGAAACCTTACAAGTGTAATGAGTGTGAGAAAGCATTTAGCAACAGTTCAACCCTCATCAAACATCTGAGAGTGCACACCGGAGAGAAACCGTATCGATGTCGGGAGTGTGGGAAAGCCTTTAGCCAGTGTTCAACCCTCACTGTACATCAGAGAATTCATACTGGAGAGAAACTCTATAAATGTGGTGAATGTGAGAAGGCCTTCAACTGCAGAGCAAAACTTCACAGGCATCAAAGAATCCATACAGGCGAGAAACCCTATAAATGTAGTGAGTGTGGGAAAGGTTACAGCCAGTTTACCTCTCTGGCTGAACATCAGAGGCTTCATACTGGAGAACAGCTGTATAAATGCCTGGAATGTGGGAGAACCTTCACACGTATTGCAACCCTTATTGAACATCAGCGCATTCACACTGGACAAAAACCTTATCAATGCAATGAATGTGAGAAAGCCTTCAACCAGTATTCATCCTTTAATGAACATCGGAAAATTCATACTGGGGAAAAACTTTATACATGTGAGGAATGTGGGAAAGCCTTTGGTTGCAAATCTAACCTTTACAGGCATCAGAGAATTCACACCGGAGAGAAGCCGTATCAGTGTAATCAGTGTGGAAAGGCGTTCAGCCAGTATTCATTTTTGACGGAACATGAGAGGATCCACACTGGGGAGAAACTGTATAAATGTATGGAATGTGGGAAAGCCTACAGTTACAGATCAAACCTTTGTAGACACAAAAAAGTTCACACTAAAGAGAAACTCTATAAATGGAAGGAATATGGGAAACCATTAATCTGCAGCTCCTCACTCACTCAGTATCAGAGATTTCTTAGAGGAGATAAGGCCTATGAGGCTTAGTTCATCTCTCAAGTAATCCAGGACTTCTCATTGGGGAATAAGGAGAATAATCAATAGGGTACAAACTCCTAATAGATTTATCTTTTTTACTTCTCCTGAAGGAAATATGTTAGTTGCCACTAAGTAATGATAAAATTGATCAGTGAAATTATGAAGAGCACTGACTTGCTAAGTTTTAAAAGAACCATAAATTTGAAGGTTTCTAAAAACCTATGAATATTTAATTGACAGAAAAAATGTAAAAGGCCTAACTTTTAAAAAATCATGAAAAATAGTTAAATATACATTTTGTTTCTCTCATAAGACCATATTCCCTTTATAAGAGTAAGCTTCAATGTGTGAATTTTCTTTTAAAAACAGTCACTGAGTTATTAATAATGTAAATAAGTGTGTGGCCTTCTTTAAAAGAGCCAGCCAACATAGGAAGCGCTTATTTTCATAAAGGGAAGCTAAACATAAAAAGGAATTATTTAAATTTAACTTTTCACGTGGAAATAATAAAGCTCTTTTTATGAGCTGTCCCACCAGCAACTGATATATGTAAACATACATATATACACATAAGCATGTGTGTGTGTGTAAATGTAAAAGTCCTTTATTAAAAAATGTAGTTTTATTAATTTAGAATTTAGTTCTTAAAATCTTGCCCAAAGGTAGACTCTCTTACTTATCTTCTGTCATTTCTTAAATTGATGTAGTTTTATATAACTGAACTGAGTACTATTATAGTACCGTAGAAGGCGGATTAACTGAAGCAGCTGGAAAGACTGTTAAGCACATACTTTGTTATCTGTTGCAGAAGGGATATATTTGGCAGAACCTGAGGCTACATGTCTGGTAGCTCATTAGATCCAGGAGAGGTTTAATGATAGCCTTTCATTGTACTAATGAAGAACCTGAACTTAGTGAACAGAGTCAAGACTAGAATCTAGGTCTTCGGTCTGGTATTTTGTGATGATTATAGACTTATTTCCAACCTGAGGTCTCAACAGTACTATTTGTTTTGTAGCCTGGTTAGATATAGTTGCAGTAATTTAAAGTTACTGTTTTATCTATAAGGGTTTCCTCTCACCTTAATCTTAAAAATTGACTCACAACTATATTCTTTTTTCTTATGAGTCCCTAATTATGCCTGCTTTTACTATAATTGTACTTAAATCTGTAAAGCTAGCTGAGGTCCAGATAGTGTAATTGCTTTTGGATACTTCACATATAAGATTGCCTTCTTATTACACATATTTTAGGAATTTTTTTGTGGAAAGTTATATATGAAGAGTTAATTATTAAGCATTCTTTTCATCAATTTAAATGTTTAGTTCCCCCCAGGTGTTTTTCCTCCAACCTTATATTTGACTTTCATTCAATTCACAGTTGGTATCATAAAAAAAAAAATTATTCTAATACAATTAGCTAGACCTTCTGAGAAAAATATTAGAATTAAATCCAAGCAGTCAGTATATTTCTTAATTGACTGATTTTAGCTTATCAGAAAGTTATTGTTTTATGTATTTGAATACATTTACAAAGAAAATGAGGCTTTTAAACAGACCTCAATATTTAACATTGTACCCAGTAGTGCTGAGCATGCTTAGTACCCAAATTTTGGTTCCTAAATGCCATTCCCCACTAACAGGAACCAGGGTTCCTTGGAGAAGTGGTTGATTCCATGTTTGGAGCAGGGGAAGTGGGTGGTGTGGCTAAAATACTTTTTTTTATTAAGAAAATAAAATAAAAAGCAAGATAGTATGTGAAGACTAATGGGGTAATGTCAGAAGGGGACAGGCGCCAAGTCGAAGGTATTTCTCACGGGCCAAATTTAGGACAACTTAAAATCAAAAAGAATAATCACTGATATTGCTGATAATGCTAAGAAGGAAAAGAAGTTCATAATGATGAAAGTAAAGAAGAAAACTCGTTATAAAATTATTTGAAGAATGTCTTCTTTTAAATGTACACAGAATGATAGATTTGGAAAAATACCATTTTACAACCCTTAATGTAATTAAATCTGGCAAAAATCAATGGTAAAACCCATTAGGTGAAAAAAATTTTGAGGAACTTTGTTTACAAGGTGTCAGAGGATCACAGATACCTATTGCAAAAGAATTGCCTTTACAATGAGATTTGGCTGTCAAACTGCATTTCCCTACTTCTGGAATAAGCCAGCATTATGTGGCTCTTGATAGGATGCAGTGTGAAGCATGTGTGATCATCCTTGATGTACTGCCAAAAATGTGTACCCCAAATTTAATTAAATCTTTTGTCTAGACTTATCTTCCTATTTAAAGGAATAGAGGAACAAGTTGAATTACACATTATGGAAATAGACAAGTCCAGAGTTGGTACAGGACAACTGGTCTGGAATTTTTAAAAAAATTTATTTTAAAATGGTTTTCTTAAATGTACTTTTTAAACACAACATGAGGAAGGTGTTAAAACTGGTGTAATAGCTCAAAAGAATAAGTATTCCAGATTTCAGGAGGAATGAAGAGGGAGATATTCAGAAATCTTCACCAGATTCCCCCCACCTTGATCATAGTGGATTAATGATGTGCTTTGTGGATGTGGTTAGTCAATGACACCAACTTGACGGATCTTTCTTTCTGCTCCACACCCCATTGAGTTATCTGGTCCCCTTGGCTGATGAAGAACCATCAGGCGAGGAGCACTGGCGTCATCCAGGGTGATGTTCTTCAAGCGACTGACCAACCGCTCAGGTCGAGGAGCTGCAACAGCCTTGGGGCCCTCACAGACTCGCCACACATTCCAGGTGCTGCACTTGCCAGTGCGCTGATTAAGAGTCACTGAGAACTCCACCTCATCTCCTGCCTGGAGCTCAAGGCCATCCTCAACTTCATTCACATGGAAAAAGAGCTTCTTGCTATCTCCTACTTCATAGTTAATGAAGCCAAACTGATCTTTCACACATTCCACTGTGGCCCTACACAGGGGTGTGAGGTTGTAAGCCATAGTTTGTGCATTTTGACCCTGGTCTGGACTTTTCAAAAAGCAAATGTAATAAAACAAAAAGTGGTCTCTTCTAGATTAAGGCAAGAGAGATAATCAAATGGAAAGTGTGATCCTTTATTAGCTTCTGATTCATTAAAAAAACCTATAAAAGACATTTGGGGGGCTATTTGGGGAAATAGGAAGATGGAATGGGTATTAGATAAATGTGGTGTGTTTGATTTTTCTAGAAGTGATAATTGAGTTACGTCGGATAATGTTCTAATTCTTAGGAGATGCATGCAGAAGTTTTTTTAAGTTTGAAAAGTCATGATGTTGGCAGCATATTTTCAAATATGTACAAAATTAGTCAACTTTTTTTGTAGTGGATGTAGAGATGTTCATTGGTCATTTACAAAATTTTTCTATATGTGTCAATTTTTAATAAAAATTAATGCAAAAAGTGATTGGATGAAGTGATGAATCTTTCAATCAGAATTCTTCATTTATATTCTTAGGAAGTTCCTGTTTGAGAGTTAATCCTCCAGTGATGTAATTGTTGGAAATAAAGTAACTGGGTGGTACTGGGTTCCCTTTAAATGGAATGAGCATGCTCCACTTTCTCTCTCATGCTAAATGTAACTAAGGCATGGAGCAGCTGTCTGGGCACCCTCAAAAGTAATAACAGGCAGATTTGGGAAGGAAACTGGAATTTGAAAGGAGATCATTGTGGCACTCTTGGGCATTCCTGTGGCGAGGACAGAGATGGCTGAGCAGGCATCTAAACCTCAGTTAAGAACCCTTCACTCTGGTTAGAGGATCTCTGGGCCAAAAAGGTTTAGGAGAATCCCCACTGCTTTTCTTCCCTCACTATCTTCCTGCTACTTGGACCTGGAAGTGATGTATCCATGAGGTGTGTAGCAGAGAGGAGAACCTAAACCCTTGGATTTCTAACCTGAAGACCAGGAAGAGGAAGTGGCTCCTGAGAGCTGGAAGGTGTCAAGGTGGTGACAAAGATAAGGAAGCTCAAGAAAGTGATCTCATAACAGTTGTTTATGCAATCTGGGGCTCTCCCCTGGTCTATACATATATAGGTCTGACGCGATAATTGTTCGGGTCTGACACTGGGCAAAGAGAGATCCAAATAGCACTGAAAATACTTAGAAAACTGGACTGACATTAGAACCACAGCTCATAGGAGATGGATTGGAACTGGTGACCAAGACTTAATCAGTTAAATTGCCTGCTGGAAAAAATACCCTAACATTTTCTGGAAGAATTGAATACCCAGTGGCCCATAATATTCAAAATGTCCAAGATGCAATGCAGAATCACATGAAATACATAAATCAGGAAATTTTCAACAATTCAAAGGAAAGACAACAGACACCCCAAGATGACACAGATGTTGGAATTATGAGACAAAGACTTTAAAGTAGATATTGTAACAATGTTTCAGAAAGTGTGGCCATTCCAGAAATCGATGAAATGTCAAATTTTTCAGTAGGAAAATAGTAATTTGACTCACTTCTAATAGAATATGATAGAAGTGATGCGATATCACTTAAAATATTTGATTATGAAAAGGCTATGGCTTCTGCACAGGCACGCGCTCTCTTGAATCACTTGTCCTTTGGGAAGCCAGTTGCCTTATCGTGAGGACACTTAGCCTATGGAGAGTTCCACATACTAAGTAACTGAAGCCCATGGCCAACAACCAGCAACAAACTGGCCGCCTAGCAACCATGTGAGTGAGCTTAGAAGTGGATCCTTCCTTGCCTGAGCCTTCAAATAGGACTGCAGCCACAGCCAACTACGTGCCCATAACCTTATGTGAGACACTGAGTCAGAAAGACCTAGCTAAACCATTCACTTCTGGCTTCTTAACCCCCAGAAACTCTGGGTTAGTAAATGTTTTAACTGGTAGGTTTTGGGGTAATTTGTTATGCATCAACAGATAACTGATACAGAACTTAGTACTTGGAGGTGGGCAGCTGCCATAATGAAAACCCAAAATATGGGAGTGGTTTTGGAACTTGGCAGTAGGTGTTAAGTAGGCATGTGCTGGTAGAAAACTAAAGTGCTTTGAAGAAGCGATAGCAGCATCATGGTCTGACAAGGCTGTAGATGAGGACTTCTAGAAAAGTGAGGTAAATGTTATTGGAAAACTGGAGGAAGGAAGAACTTCTGTAGTGGCAGACTGAAAGTAAAACGTGTGCCTAATATGATCTCACTAGAGAGATTTCCTGGCCGAGTGTTGCAGGTGCCGTCTGGCTTCTTGATTATAGTAACATGACGAGAGATTAAAAACTATAGGAAAGACCATCAAGCAAAAAGGATCCAGGGCTTGGTGGTTTTGGAAGTAGTCTCATCAAGAGAACAGGATTTGCTAAAATTAAGAAATCACTTGTCAGCAAAGATCAAATGTAGAGAACTCCTTGGAAAACACCCTGCAATGATGAAGCTCATTATAATATTTAATAAAAATTAATAAAAAGAGTTGACAAGGATGTGGAAAAAATGGAACCTTCACACACTGCTGGTGGGAGTATAAAATGGTGCAGCCTCTTTGGAAAACAGACTGGAATTTACTTCGAAGATTAAATATAGTTACCATGTGACTTAGCAATTCCACTCCTAAATTTATACCCAAGAGAAATGAAAACAAACATTGATATACGTACATGAATGTTCATAGCAGCATTATTGATAATAGAAAGTGGAGACAACCCAATGTTCATCAACCAATGAATGAGTAGGCAAAATGTGGCACATTTGTAGAATGAAACGTTGTTTGTCAATAAAAAGAAAACACTGATAAATATGACAACATGGATCAACCTTGAAAACGTGCTGAGTGAAGGAAGCCAGTAACAAAGGACCACATATCGGATGGTTCCATTTATACGTGATTTTCCGAATCAGCAAATCTGTAGAGACAGAAAGTAGATGATTGATCTCCAAGGGCTTTAGAGGGCTGGAGAAAATGTGGGGTGACTGATAATGGATGTGGAGTTGCTTTCTGGAATAATGAAAATTTTCTAAAATCATTCTAATTATTGTGCAACTCCGAATATACTACAAGGCTTTGGATTGTACACTTTATATGGGTGGATTGCATGGTATGTGAATTCTATCTCAATTGAGTTTGTTGTAAACAACCTATTGCAAATGCTTATCTGTTAATGCCAATCTGTACTAAAATTTTATGTGGTTCATCTTTGGAAATGTTCTTTCACACTGATAGCATTGTTGGATGCTGATATCTGTCCATAAGCATATTATTTCAATTGGGCATATCCAGTGCTCAGAAGTCATTTATAGAATTTCGTTAGATTCTTTGGATGTTTGCCTTTGGGCACACTGTTACATTGCAGATTAATCAGAAGAGTTGGGTGGATCCTCCTCAGTTGTACTGTTAAGTGAATTTTGAAATATGTATATTTCTTTTGCATTTGCATTATGATCTAAAAAATGCTGCTGGAATTGGAGTTTGTGCTCAGAATCCATATGTGTGGAAAATATTTGTGAGAATGGAGATATCACTTCTTATTTTAAACTTGGACAGCATGTCAAATATATAAAGCATTTTCACATTACTTGTGATTCAAATATTAGTTGTCATTGAAGTGACTTTGCAGCAGAGTAAGCTTTGCATATAAGCTCTGATTTCCCTTGAAATTTAAGGTTGAATTCATTAAGAAACATCAAGTTTGCAGCAAAAGCTAGTTTCTAAAGGCATCTCATGTTTAATAATAGTGTTTGAACAAGGTTCTTCTCATTCAGAAAAATTTCACCCTCAGCACTGAGCTTAAAAAATTGCAAACTTTATTACTGCTAAGTCATTGAACTGCTGTGTGGCAGAGCTAGTCAGGATATTTGACTTCTATTTCTGGAAAAAAAAAAAAAAGTCACAGAGCTAACAATAGTTAAGTCCATAAGAGCAAATGAAGTTCACTTTTGACATTGCTTGTTCAATAAGACAGACTTACTTATTTCCTGCATACTACCTGCTGATGAATAACCGCAGGTTTTAAACACCTTAAACTTTTGCAAGCTTTGTAAACTCGTCTAACCAAGCCTTGGAAAAAGTTCTTTAGGCCAGGCACAGTGGCTCATGCCTGTAATCCCAGCACTTTGGGAGGCCAAGGTGGGTGGATCACGAGGTCAGGAGTTCAAGATCAGCCTGGCCAACATGGCAAAACCCTGTCTCTACTAAAAATACAAAAATTAGTTGGTAGCATGTGCCTGTAATCCCAGCTACTCAGGTGGCTGAGGCATGAGAATCCCTGAAACCCAGGAGGCGGATGTTGCAGTGAGCCGAGACCATGCCACTGCACTCCAGCCTGGGCGACAAGACTCTGTCTCAAAAAAAAAAAAAAAAAAAAAAAGTTCTTTACGTATTTTTACTACCAGCAGTTGGGACACATTTTTGCAGATTTCACTTCGAGTTTACCAAATTAGTATTTTCTTTGAAAACATTCTTGCTTGTAGTTGGTTCCACACAATCTATTTATAGAGGCCAATTACTAAGTAATTTCAAATAATATTAACTCATCAAATCAACAAGAACTGAGCAGTATCACTAACATCATTGACTCATCAAGAGCCAAGGAAAACCACTTAAAATCATTTGCCATGTTATTTGACTATTGACATTGCTTGCTGTGTCCTCAACTCTTCAAATGACTAATGTCACTGGTCTGAAAGTGCCTCCAGATAGAAAGTCAGGAGTATTGAGGGCTCACTTTTGTTTCCCTTCACTTGGGGACTAGAGTTCTGTATTGCACGTTGTCCATTATCTGGAAAAAAAAATATTTTTTTCTAGATGTAGGGTTTCTTTTTCTTGGATAGGCTAGTCTAGTAACAGTTTCTCAATCATGGGTGGTAGTGTACATATGCAGAAATAATCCTTAAATTACAATTTTGATAAATGCTATTAAGGAAAACTACAGACTATGATAAGAGCATTCAAGAGAGATGTGTCTACCCCAGAGCATGGTATGAGGTCAGAGTGTGCTTTTGTGAGTAAGTAGCATTAGGCAGAGACCTTGGGGCAGTTGAGAAACAGGACTTGTTGCAGGCAGACAGAAGAGCACATGAGAAGGTGCTGTTCCTTTTTTCCCATTGTTTTTCACCTTTGCATTCCAGTTCCTACAGACCTATCTTCAGGCTCACGGATTCTGTCTTTGGCTCTGTCTAGTCTACTGATGAGCCCACCAAAGGCATTCTTCTTTGTTAACATTTTTCATTTCCAGGATTTTCTTTTCTTTTTTAGAGTTTCCATTTCTCTTTTTATATTACCCATCAATTCTTGCATGTTGTCTATGTATTCAATTACAGCCCTTAATATATTATTGTTATTTTAACTTCTCCATCTGATAACTCCAAAATCTGTGTCATATCTGAGTCTGATTCAGATGCTTGCTTTATCTCTTCAGACTGTATTTTTTCTTGCCTTTTAGCATGTTGTGTAATTTTTTGTTGAAAGCTGAGCATGCTGTATCTGGTAATAGGAACTGAGGTAATCAGACTTTTACTGTGAGCTTTCATGTGAATCTCTAGGAGCTAGGCTGTGCTCAATGTCTGCTGTAGCTACAGGTGCCGTAGGCGTCAGTTCCCTCTTGTTTCCGTGTGTGTGTGTGTGTGTGTGTGTGTCTGTGTGTGTGTGTGTGTCTGTGTTTTGTTTTGTTTGATTTATTGCTTCCCTGTTGTCTTTGGGATCCCTAAGAATTCCTTCTTAAGTGGAGTATGTTTAAGAAGAATTGCTTCTTAAGTAGAGTGTGTTTAAGAAGTATTCCTTCTTAAGTAGAGTATGTTAAGAAGAATTCCTTCTTAAGTAGAGTATGTTTAAGGAGAATTACTTCTTAAAGGCAGTCCTGCACCTCTCTTAGTTGCAATCCACTGTCATTCTTCTGGAGTCCTATTGATATAATAGTACAGTGTTGAGGAGAGGAGGTATATAATAATCTATCATCTTACGATTAAATCTCAGGTTTTTCATGGGTTTCAGTCCCTGGGCTGTGATCTTCAGAGGCATTTCTTAGCTTTTTTTCCATTCCTAGGTGAGAGGGTGGAGTTGTCTAATTGCCTTTCTCCCAGGTCAGAAAAGTTTCTAGTAAAATATTGCTCTTGAGGGCAAGCCTTTGTTTCAGAGAACACTCGGGGCATATTTCAAAATGATAACTTTCCCCAGGCATATTTCAAAATGGTTACTTTTCTCCTCCCCTGCCAGAAGCACAAAGGGATTTTTCTTTGATGTCACTGTGAGAACCTGGTGGAGTTCCTGGAGGTAAACCCCCATAAAGCTGTGGCCCCAGTCTTACTCTCAAGCCAGTCCATGATCTGCCTCCCACAATGTGTCAATCACCGTGTAAGTGTTCCTACCAGTTACTGGCTCCAGAAGCTTCTGCTCTTGGTAAGCTGATCTTGCCTGTGATTCTCTGTATCCACCTACTTCTCCAGTTTTCAGGGTGGCAATGTGTCCTGCGACCTCAACTATCTGATGGATCTAAGAGGAATCACTTAGATTTTAGGTTTTCAGTTTGTTTACTTTTTTGCTTGTTGTGAGGATGTGAGTGATGACTTCCAAGCTTTCTACATGTTTCTAAGCTGGAGCTGGAAGTCTCTCTCCTTAGCTGAGGGTTTGGAAGTGGTCAAGGGGGATATCTGATCAGTCTGCACTCCTTTCCATCAACTTCTCCTTGTAATTGGCTTAAATGCTCTGTTGTTAGACACAGCTGACATCATCTAGCTTGGGCTTTTGCTGGTAATGTCTGGGTAAACGTGGCAGACAGAGATCATCCCAAAGCAATGTGTGGGAGGAAGAAATGTATAAGCCATAAACTTCTCCAACGCCATCTTCTCATTGCAGTGTCTGGCTGCTCCAGACCTGAGCTTTGTAAAAAACAAAACAAAAAGACACAACACACACACACATACACACACACACATACACACACACCCCAAAATATTTTGCCATGGGCCAACTTGCATCAGTTCAAATCTGCTTTCTCAGGCATTCTCATAGTATTTATGTTGATTCATCATATCAATAATCCCACCTCATTTGGGAGATTCACCAGAGTTATTATGGGGAGAAAGAAACTCATGCTATTTCACCATCTTGTATAATTTTAAAACTATTGGTTTCCAAACTTTTCTTGATTTCTGGGAATAAACCTAACTTAGTGCGGCACTTCACCTTTTTATCCACAATTGGATATAGTCTACTGATATTGGGGTTAGGAATTTTGCATCCATGCAGTTTTTTTGTGTTTTCCCTTCTGGTCCTTATCTAATTTTGCCATTAGAGTTATGACATCATGGAATAAACTGAGAAGTGTTTCCTTTGCCCATTATTATCTAGAAGAGTTTGTATAACAGAATTATCTACTTCATGAATGGTAACATTTGTCTACTCACATTCTGAGCCTGGTATTTTCTTTGTGGAAATATTTTAAATTTCAAATTTGATTCTTTTTATGATTACAATTGTATCAGATTTTCTATTTCTTCTTGTGTAAATTTTATTTTTCTAAGAATTTGTTCATTTTCCATTTTTTGGCATGAACTTGTTTATATTATTTTTTCATTAACCTTCTAACTTCTATTCCATGAATTTGTTTATATTATTTTTTCATTAACCTTCTAATTTCTACTCCTTCAATAGTTAAATTCTGTTCCTTATTTCTAAAGTTTTTGCGTATGCATCTGTCTTTTATTCTTCATCAATATTACCAGAAGTTTGTAAATACTAAGTCAACTTTTGGCTTTGTTAATCCTTTCTTTATAAGTTTTTTTTAATAATTACATTACATGCTTAATGAACTTAGCTTTTTATTTCCTTCTAATTTCTTTGGTTTTGTTGTATTATATAGCTCATTAATTAATTTTATTAGCTCATTAATTAATTAATTTTCAAACTTTTAATCTAATTTTTGTATCAAGACTATAAGTACTTCTAAGCACTTCCCTGACTAAATTTCATACCATTTTATTTTTTCAGTCAGCTTTCTCAGATTGAATCACAAGTTTTGCTATATGATATTTAGTTAGGAGTATTTTCTATTTTGTTTTGGTCACATTAAAAACTTTAGTGATATGCTTATTCGTTCAGGGTGTGCATATAGGCATTTAATATGATGAATATAATTTCTCTCAAATTTTATTTCATTACAATTACAGAAAGATGAAGTATGAATATAACAACATTTCCCTAATTACTTGTGAACACACTTTCAATGATCAATGTGATATCACATCAGTGTGAAACTCTTTAATTTTTCCTATGTTTTACTTGCTTTGCTTATATTTGTTGAAATATCATTTTACACCTGCATGTAACAAAAGTTTGGGAAAAATTGGGCAGGGTTTTTGTTGTTTTCCATTTCATTTTTCTTTAATAATACACTTCTATTTATTTTTATTTCACAATTTTTAATTGGTATGTAATAATTGTACATATTTTGGGGCTACATGTGGTATTTTGATACTGTATATAATGTGCAATGATCAAATCAGGGAAATTAGGATATCCATCACCTCAAACACTTATCTTTTCTTTGTGTTGGAAATATTACAATTCTTCTCTTCCTAT